AAGTGAACTCTTTGGCTGTTGGTAAGACATGCAATAACTGATACCTCTTTACTTTATAAAAACTATCACTTCCACTCATGTGTCTGGCACAAGACATTCCAGAAATGTTTACTGAACTGAATGTACAGCTTTCCTTTTTCAGGGAGAAGGAGCCTCCTGAGCAGCAGAAATAACCCTGGGTATCTTCCTTCAGCAATTTTACCCCAGAGTTCCAGATCTTACCAAGTTCTACATGGAAGCATCCATGTGTCCAAATACTATATTTTCATTTCACGAATTGTATTTATAAACCTGTCCCAAGGGGAGTTCCATAATGGAAGCTAGTCAATATTCAGCTTTACTGTTATTTTTTTCTAGAGCTCTTAGGAGTCTAAAGATTTACCCGCAAGTTGAAATCAGGTTTTTAAATTAAAAAATAAGTCATACAAAGAAGTACTGTATTCAAGATAAAAGATGCAGGTGGCATCCTGAATACCAATAATATGCTACAGTGATATAAAAGCTTCAATCACTAGTTAAAAGTGAGTAGCTAGGATAGACTAGGTCTGTGTACAGAAGCATGTAACTCAAAGCACAAAACTGTAAAGTAATAAATGAAGAAGAAGTTAATGGAAAGCATTGTAAATATCTTTTATGCCAAGAGTTGTGCCTGATAGAAAAGTAGACAAGAGTTTGTTGGGCCATATGACTAACAACAAAGTCAATGGACCTTGTGCGTTACTTTGGAAGTGGGAATAGGAAAGGAAGTGGGGCGGGTCTGCTTTCTGGAGTTAAATATGGAAGGTGCACCTCAATCCTTTTATTCCTTTCACTTTAAAGACAATTTTGGGGAAAAGGCAAGTGACACAAAAATCATGAAGTCTTGTCAGCCATTTGACTTTCTCATGAAAGTTAGTTATCTCATGTTGCTGTAGATCTCAGACTTATTTCAGTCTTACACAGAGTCTGAATGACTTCAACGCCCAGCAATATTCTTCTACCACTGAAGTTAAGCAAGAGGAGGCTAAAAGGAAGTATGAAGGAGAAGGGAACACATTTTGCCAAAAAAGAGTTGGGAAAGCATACCATGACCCGGAATTATTCATTCACCTCTCTATTGATATGTCTGCATCAGTGACTTTGAAAAGATGTGTGGAGGCTGGCTTCGCTCAGTAGCTTCTCAAACAAACCAGAAATAGTGTTGGCCAGAAGATCAATGTGAACAAGAAGACAGTGAGGTTGCAGGTATTTCTTTACCAAATGCCCAGAGTGTCTATACTATTATACTCAGGATTGTCAAATGCAGATGTGAGTCTATGCAGATGGGGCTTCCTAGAGTTGTACAGTGTATAACCTGTACAACATTATATGACTATCCAACCTATATTTGAAAAAGCTGAAGAAAATAAACACAGAAATAGATCCCACATCTAGATGGTTAATCTGATTATATGTTGAGTCAAAAATAGGCATTGGGTTAACCTTATTTCTAGAAGAAAATGTACATTAGACTGAGAAACTTAGCAGCTAAACAGTAAATACAGTTCATTTGAGATGAGATTTTCAAACATATTTATCTCAGTTCACAAATTCCATGCACTACTTACTCCAAACAGCTATCTTAAGTATAAGTGGCAAGATTGATGAAATTAAGATGCATTATACTCAAATGGTATTAAGCACAATTATCCAAGGTATTAGTAGCTGTTTGCATGGTTGCTATGGAAAAAAATGTTCAGACTTATGTAACTATAGTGAAGGCAACTCTAATCTAAACTGAAAGAGGGAGGGCTAGGGAGGTGGGGAGGGCTGGGGGGGAAAAGGCAGAAAACTGTACTCAAACAAGAAAAAATGTTAAAAAAATAAACTGAAAAAAGAAAAAAAAAACAGGAGAATGTTCAAGGCTAGAAAGTGAGAACAGCCCTGGTGGTGTGGCTCAGTGGATTGAGCGCCAGCCTGTGAACCAAAGGGTCACCTATTCAATTCCTGTTCAGGGTACGTGCCTGGGTTGTGGGCCAGGTCCCCAGTAAGGGGAGTGTGAGGGGCAAATCATACATTGATGTTTTTCTCCCTTTCATTCTCCCTCCCTTCCCTGCTCTCTAAAAATAAATAAATAAAATCTTTTAAAAAATTAAAAAACAAAAGAAAGTGAGAACAATGGGGGAAGGGCAATCAAGGGATAGAATTGGCACCACAGTGCATTCTGGAAAAAAAAGGTTGTTAGAAGAGAGGAGGGTAGGGAGAAGAACCTTCTCATGGACCTACTACTGAGAAGGACCCTGAACATGTCTTATAATAAATAAAACATATTCATCTCAAAAAGCAAAAAATAAAATTCATATCCCAGTGTCCAAACCACTACTATCCTGAATATGCTTTCCTACTAAACTTTAACAAGAGAAACATAAACACTAAGAAACAAATTTCTTCTTAGATTTCTTAACAAAAAGTTGGAGGGAGAGGAAAAGTCTTATAACCAATATGATAAACCTGCTTATTATCCCTTCCTCACCACTTTGCCACATCTATACCAAAACTTGTGTTTAACTACATAGGCAACCTTTCCTTCACATCAGAAATATTTAATTTAGCTGGGGATTGGGTGGATATGAGCTGAGTACAGGTAGCTTTACTTTTTAAGGGAAATTCTAATACATATGAAGGAAATCACTAATGTTTTTAAGCATATCATGCCATGTCCTCCCTGTGTAAGGGCAAGCTTTCTGTCACATGCAAATTGAACTGCTTTCCTCCATTGCCCCATCAAATACGTTTATGTATTAGCAGTAAATTTGAAACATTTAAAACTTCATTGTGCCCAGGACACCTAAAGAATTCTTGATGTCTGTGCTCTTTAAAAGAGTTGAACAACCTCAAGAATAGTAGTTAATTCTAACAAATCAGTCTCTTCTTGTCCCATCAAATACATTGATGTTTTCAAAGTACAATGCAAACATCTTAAAGCTCCATGCAATAAAAAGGGAAAAAGTGCAACTTCACAAACTCAGGACATCTAAACCTAAAAAACTGAACGGCCTGAAAGTCTTCAGACAAGTCAGGTTTTTTTTTTTTTCCTTCCTGTTACATAGGCTCAAAATAGATTCCTTTTCACCTGTAACCTGGCATGGAGATCCAGCATCCAGGCTGGTGGCAATGAAGGGGAGCTGAATAATAGTGACCTCTCCCATGCACATCTGGAATCTAGAAAGTTAGAAAAGTAAACTGCTGGACAGGGTAACTCTCTATCCCTTACACGGAGTTCACCCTTTACAGATATACTGTAGATCACTTTATGTACTGTGTTTTTCTGCATTTTATAAATAACAAGATTGAGACTTTTTCAGCCCCAAGAGCCAATTTCCCCTGTTGGGGGCACTATCACCCCTAGTGAAAATGCATGACTTAATGATAGCTACAAAAACTCAAGCCCACATTTCATTGTCTGCTCATGGCCAGAAATTCCTAAATCAATAATGATTTAGCAACACTTAAGTCAAAACAATTATATCGGAATCATTTTCAAAATCACAAGCTGAAAAATATAATCTATGAAATACACAAAACTGGGTAAAATATTGTTCACTTAGTAACATCCCAGTTAAATTTTTTTGGCATTATTCTCAGTATTGCCCCAAAAATCTATTTAATGCTTGCTCAGAGAACCAAAGATTCAATTACTGTTGAATTTTACACATTTCAAAAAGCAAAAAAAACAAATGAACTTCAGAGAAAATTTTTTTCTAGATAGTGGCAATGGGTAATTTGGAAAAGCAGATATAGAATTTCTGTGGAAAGCAGATAATTATCTAACTAAATTAACTAACATTTGCTCACAGACAACCTGAAAATAAATGGCCCACAAATTTATGTATGTTATAAAAACAAGTCAGAGCTTCATTGGAAAATCACTATGCTATCCACATATACAATTGAGGGGAAGCTTCCCCATCTGCAAAGTTTCCAGAAAATTCACTTATGTCCTTTTTTAAAAGATTTTATTTATTTATTTCTAGAGAGGGGAATGGAGGGAGAAAGAGAGGGAGAGAAACATCAATGTGTGGTTGTCTCTTGCGCACCCCCTACTGGGGACCTGGCGTGCAACCCAGGCATGTGCCCTGACTGGGAATCAAACTGGCAACCCTTTGGTTTGCAGGCTGGCACTCAATCCACCAAGCCATACTAGCCAGGGCTCATTTATGTTCTTTTACATCTTTAAAACACCCCTAGCATTTTCAAACACTCATGGCAAGAATCATAGGAAGCCTAAAAAACAAAACACTCAAATGAAGGGTGCAAATAAAGAAAGTCCATCATATAAGCCAATTAAAAATATCTGTATGACATTAAAAGTTCAGCTCACCTACCTTCACTGGTCCATGTTCATAACTGGAGTCTTGTACCAATTGCAGATAAGACATCATGAAAATATTCACCACTGCCCACTGTCTATACATTTTGAACACTTTAATCCACTGATTACCAAGTAGTTGACATCAGGCAGCTAGAGAAAACTGTTTCAAAAGGCATTCTCCAGGAAAAAATCTCGAAATCCCAAGACTTCACATGGAAAAACAAATAATCAGTTGTGATCAAAATCTAATGAAACAACTTCAATTTGTTAAGGTATGTTTTTTGCACAATCTCACACAGACAGAGAGAGATGAAAAAACTTTTAAGTGTTCTCATGATCCAAAAATACTCAGGAGGTGGACATGTTCACCACTTACATTGAGAAAACGCTTTCAATCCATTTCATGTCCAGCAAATTCAAAAAATCTCTCCACCCTATGCCCCAGGTTCTAGCTGCTTTGTAAAGAGGTAGTGTGGCCAACAATGTTTGCAGCTACAGAAAAACTGGAACCCAAGTCCGAGATTCTTTTTTCACAACTCACATGGAAGCTTGCAGGAGCATGTGTTTTAAATCTTACACAGATTTTGGCAGAAAATGCAGGGAAGTCTTGGCTGTAATCCTGTCACATCCCTACCAATAGCAGAGATGTTTTAAAAAACGGAGTCAAACACTCAAGACTGCTATTATTTTAATGCAGATGACCTGTAACGTGAAACCCCTGCACACAGGCATGACTGCGTATCGAAACTGCCATGTTCAACTGCACACATCAACTGCTGGTGACACACAGAAGCAATCACATATTCTTTAAAGCCCCACGCATGCACAAAAATAAGAAAATACCTCCCACACACAAAAAAGCAATCATATATAAAATGGTTTTTTAACAAAAGATGAGGAATGTGGGTCCCAACGAAGAACACTGATTTTTAAAGGAGCAACAATTAGATTTATTTACATATGCCAGGAAATATGTCTTGTGCATCAATATAAAAATCATGTTAGCACTTTAGTGTGGAATTCTTCAGAAGCACCAGCTAGGTCAGCTTTGGAAATTGAATGCATTGACTGAATGGATGCCACAAATGGCAAAATACTAGAAAGCATTGAAACCTGCTCTTGTGCTCAGTAGTTTCCAATCTTTGATTTCCAGGTTTTGGCTCTTTCAAACCCATTTTTTGCATTTCTGAAGTCAAGAATGGCCTGAGAAATCTCTTCATTAGTGTTCATCACAAATGGACCTAAGATAGAAAGAGACAGATATTTCTGAGTGATGATAACATTTTTTTCTGCCACTAGAAATGGTATGTGTTTCTGGAGTTCTTAACATGAAACAAATCCAGACATATTCTGAACAGGAAAAGGTTATTTGCACAGTGTCCAATCCCCAAAGGTGGTAATGTAAGTTTCTCGACTAGGGTTGTGTTTGATTATAAAGACCAAACTTCAAATAAGCAAAGGCAATGACATCTTATTCATCCATTGTAGGTTGTCATCAACAATGGCAATGTGTATTAAAACCTTCTTAGGTTTGGTTATATTACAACCATTTTGTAGGTGTTAGGGTATTTTTCCTTCCTTATATTTTGGAGATATAATTGACATTCAATATTATATTAGTTTCAGGTATAAACACAATGATTTTAGACTAGTATATATTGTAAAATGATCACCACAAAAAGTCAGGTTAATGCCCATTTTTCCCTTGTGATGAGAACTTTTAAGATTTACTGTAGTGTTATTTTTATAGCACTAGTTGATATCAATAATTGAACCAATCTGGCACAGAGAATTGGCAAATCTCATCCTAATTTGGTGTCTACACAGTATATCAGACTGTGTGCTTACGTGATGGGATTAAGTCATTTTTGAAAATTGGTAAACAGTTTGTTGATGACAAAAAGATTATAAAAATTTCAAGTCAAGAAAGCATCATATTTTGGATTCTCGAGGGGCTAGCTAATTGTTTCTGTAAAGAGCCAGATAGTATATATTTTAGATCATAAAGATATATCTATATCTGTATCTTTAAGGGAACTGTGTGACTGACCTGGCTATGAATTGACTATGTAATTATAGGATTTGTAATTTGCCTGAAGTTCCTAAGTCTGAATATATGATCTGAAATATATACTATATATATTTTGTGATCCAACAGTCTGTCCTAACTACTCAACTCTTTTGTTGAAGTACAATAGGAGCCACAGACGATGTGAAAATAAATATCTATGGCTGTGTTCCAATAAAACTTTATTTACAGAAACATGCAGTGGGTAGATTTGGCTCATGGGTCAGAGTTTGCTGGTCCCTTTGTCTAATTACAGGTTTGAACTCAGGTTTTGCTAAATGTGCAGAAGTCTGTAGTATCCATCACTTCCCTTTTTTTTTTTTCACATATTAAAGGAACAAAGGGACACTGTCTTGGACTGTATCACTCCTGAGATCTATTGGATAAACAAGGCCAACTCCTCTGGCATTGGCAGTGTCTTAAAAGCAGATGACAGATTTGTCCATTCAGTATATTTCTTCTACCATTCTTCAGAGGTTCCTGACCTTCCTTTTATGAATGTTCTATGTCTAAAGGGCTTTCTTAGAGAGACTCAAATTAAAATAGAACTGTATTACTTAGAGGGAATCACAATCAAGCTCCTTAACCACTGTTGGTGTATCAGGGCTTTGACACTCACTTCAGTTTAATACTTGAGAACAAACACACAGAATAATACACTTTGATAATGTTGAGGTCTTTTGGGATGTTGGAGGGAATAGGATGACCATAGAAAGAGAAACAAGCAGAAAGCATCTAGATTCATTTATTCATTCATTCATTCATTCATTCATTCATTCAATTACCTATCTATTGAGTATTTACTGAGTGTCTATTAAAGGACAAACATTGTGCTAGGAGCTAGAGAGAAATGACAGGCTCTCTCCCCCAAGGACTTCAAATCTATCACACAAACAGATATGAAAACAAGTTATAACAATCAGTGTGATACATTGAATGATGAATGTATGTAAAATCTATGGAATCAGTACAGAAAGGGTAGGAAGGGTCCAGTAAGGGAATCACAAAGGAAGTGATGTTTGAACAAGTATACGTGGAGGAAAGGAGTTTTCATAATTAGCATGCTGGAGGAATTGATGATGGGGGCACAGTGCTGGAAGGAGGGATCGGAGTGGAGAAAGAATTGGGGGATTTGATATGTAGGGGAGGCTAGACCCCTTTGGGTTTTGGATTCCATCCACCAGAAGAAGTTTGGACATAATGCTGCAAGTGATAAGGAATCGCCGAAGAGGTAAGTAGAGTAACGTGATCTGATTTGCAGGTTTTGAAGATTTGGGCATCAGAATAGAGAAAATGTCTGATCTGGGAGGCTGACTCTTGGTGGAATTACTAAGGGCAATTGAGACACAGGACATCAGAGACTGTGGGTAGAGCAAGAAGCTCAGTTCTACATATTTTGACATGAAGGTGCTGGAGAGAATAAGATGGCTTCCTGCCAGAGGTTGGAAATATGGATCTGGGGCTCATGAGAGAAATTTCATCTGGAGCCCTAGCCAGTGTGGCTCAGTTGGTCGGAGCATTGTCTCATAAAGCAAAAGGTCACCGGTTCAATTGTTCCGAAGATTAAATACATTCATATTTGGAAAGCATTCAATGAATCCTAGTAAACAGTCAATGCTGCCCAAGGATCTGTTAAGTAAATAAGTAAAATGCTGAGGTTTCATTTTTCTCATTTAAAAAGGGACATAACTACATCAACGATAAGGACATTCCCTATTCCAACAATCTATGATATCCTGCACTTCATTTGTAGACACATAACTAAGGACACTCCATGATGACAGAAACAAAGGCCTTAGCTAATCCATTACCAAACAGTCAATAGATGGTTGTGGCTGCATTTAAACATGAATAGGTAATAGAATAATGTCAATGGCTGAATTTTTCAAAGTTAAAAACAAACAAAACAAAACAAAAAAACCCCAAATGCTTCAATGGACATATCTTTTGGGCTTTACCATGTTGGACAATTGGTTCTCCTAATGGCTCCCCAGCAATCAGGACAAAGTGACTTCTCTCAGGATCCTAAAGTCAAAGAAGAAAGCATCAAACAATAAACATGCTTATTTTTAAATTAAATGTATTGGGGTGTCATTGGTTAATCAGGCCATATAGGTTTCAAGTGTACATCACTATAATACATGTTCTATATATTAACATGCTTATTTTTTAATGTCACATTAGGAAAATTTGAAGTTGACAGGCTGGCCAAATGGACAAAGTTCCTAATTCTGAATATAAATCTCAGGAATATTTTCTGTGCAGCACTCAATATGAAAACACTTATTCCTTAAGATGTTTGGTAGCATTTAGAACATCAGGGCAGACCACAAAAATATTAATCTTCTCAAATAAAAAGAATTTAGATTAAGATTTTTCTCAACTGGAAACATCTCTAAGACAAACTGTGTGACTGACCTGGCTATGAACTGAAGGTGTGATGATAGAACTTGTAATCTGCCACTAACAATATCATTTTTTGAACAGCACACTCCTCTTTATTTTAGGCCAGATCTATACAGAGGAAGACGTGGCAGACCTCATAGTTAGGTACTATGTGTTCATTTAAGATTCCATTTTAAAGTGCTACTTCCTGGTAACTACTCAAGTCCCCCAGTTGCTCCCCAACCAGATGGAATTTGTCTTTAAAGTAGGAGTATTCCAAAATCAGGTCATTTTTAGGCAGAAAACTGTCCTCTTCATGCCCATTCAAAACAATTACTGGAGCAGAGAACCTGAAGACATGAGCACAAAGAGGAGAATAAGCTGACCTGAGAATTTGTGTTGAGGCCTTGAAGGTAACTGTAGGCCCAAGTCAAGCACATGATTTAAAAAATTAATTTCTCAGTTTGTTTGCAATTAGAGTATACATTCATTACTATTTTGTACTAGTTTCAGGTGTACAGCTTGGTGGTTAGACAACTTTATACTTCACAAAGTGTTCCCCTTATTATGTCAAGAACCTGCCCGGCACCATATACAGTTATTTACACAGAAAAGAAAACCAATGACAAAACAAAAAGACAACCCACTAAATGGAAGAACATATTTGCCAATGATACATCTGATAAGGGGTTAGTATCCAAAATTTACAAAAAACTCAAACAAATCAACACCCCCCCCCAAAAAAACCCCAATCCAATTAAAAATTGGGCAGAGGACCTGAATAGACATTTTTCCAAAGAGGACATGTGAAAAGATGGTCAACATCACTAATCATCAGAAAGATGCAAATTTAAAACCACAATGAGATATAACCTCATACCGGTCAGAATGGCTATCATCAATAAACCAACAAATAAATGTTGGTGAGTATGTGGTAAAAAGAAAATCGTCTTGCACTGTTGGCAAGAAAAGCAGATTGGTGCAGACACTATGGGAAACAGCATGCATGTTCCTCAAAAAATTAAAAATGAAGCTGCCTTGTGACACAGAGATTCCACTTCTGAGTATTTATCCGAAGAAACCCAAAACAATAACTCAAAAGAATATATGCGCTCTGGTGTTCATTATAGAGTTATTTACAATAGCCAAGCTATGGAAGTAACCCATGTGCCCATTAATATACAAGTGAATAAAAAGTGGTGGGCCCTGGCCATCTGGCTCAATTGCTTAGAGCATCATTCTGTACACCAAAAGGTTGTGGATTCGATGCCTAGTCAGGACATGTACCCGAGGCAACCAATTGATGTTTCTCTCTCACGTAAATGTTTTTCTCTCTTTCTCCCTTTCTCTTTCTCAAAATAAAAAAAAATGCTTTAAAAGATTACATTTTCCCTGAAACTTAAAAAATATTAATTATACCTAATATTAGTGCAGATGCAGACAATGATACACTTCTATGTGTCATTTGTGATGTTTTAAATTGGCACAAGAATCCTTCCAGAGAGAACTTTCACAAGGTGACTCCTAATCCTACTACCACTGATATCCTCTAATTCCAGAGAAATTCCAGAGAAACCAGCAGAAGAACCCCCTCTCACACACAGACACACCTTTCACTTATGAAATTAATAATGTTTTCAGCCCGTAGATTTTAGGGTAATTTGCTACTCACTAATAAATAACTGAACATTATGTATTTTAAGGTGTTTCTTAGGTTTACCTAATTTAAAATAAAACAATAAGAAAACCTATAAAGATTAGGTACTTTTAAAAAAGGCTTCAAAAATTTTTTAAAGATTCAGCCATAGTCTAATAGTATAGTGTATATCTAAATATGTGGTAAAATAATGTCATATATTATATTTATATGCCTTTACTAATTTCTTTAATTAGAAATCATTATAATGTTTTAGTACCAGAAGAGTTATCACTGGATTCAATAAAAATGAGTAATAAATTCTTCAATTTTCCATATAGTTAAAAAGCTTTGTATATTACAGGACTAAAATTTATTTACCCTTCTGTCTCCAAGTTAAAAAAATTAAAAGGGAATTTAGGGTAGAAGGTTTTCTGAAAAGGTCTTAATTTATTCCCTACAATCCCAGAGCTGTTGTTATTAAGTACATCTACCCAGCAAATGGTGTAATCATTTCTTCATGTTTACAAAATATGCTTAAGATTTCTAGACCTGCATTTATTTATACATCATCTCCTTTACCTATCCATAACACAATTTGCTGTCAAATTATGCTAATGTGAACTCAGTTGAAAAGCAAAGAGTGAGCCTGCAAAGACTTCTACTAATTCAAATTTTAAAACCAGATGTCATAAACTACATACATAAACATTAATGCTTTACCCTTACTCAATGCAGAGCCTCACTCAATTCCTCTTTATTCTTGCTTTAAACCCATTGCTCACAAGTAGCCTTTGTGGTTCTCAGATCTCTAAGACATTCAAAGGTAGAAGAAAGGGAAGCACTTCTGGATAGCAATACAAGAAAATAGCTTAACATCAGTGATGGAAATGAAAAAACTATATGAAACAAGCACAGAAGCTTAAAAATTAGTCTAGGTCCACTTACATCATAACTTTATAGCTCACAATGATAAACAGTATACACATTGAAACCCCAAGGTTATGAGTAAGTGAGATCTCAGCCCACAGGAAAGGAGTAGGTTCTACCTGAAATGGTTTTTTTCTATGTCATGTTTAAATGACTAAAAAGTCAACTTAAAAAAAAAAGCACAGTTATCAAAAAAAAGGTTTATCCCCTAATAAACCTCTGGTGAAAATTTAGTGTGAATCCATAGACATTTGAAAGAAAAGTATCTTAGAAAAACAGTTCTGAACATTGGCACTACATGGATTATAATTTAATCTGAAAGAAAATGTCACCGACCAGTGTTTTGAAGGTGTTTTTTGGAGGGCAGATGCACTTGAGTTTTAGGGTCTAGGGGCAGAGAAGAGGGTTGGGCGTTTTGAGAGAAGGAAAGAGGAAAGGCTAGCCTTTGGTGTCATGGATATGCTGGCTTCTAAGACTGAGTTTTTCAGTTCAGAAGATGCATCTTTTGTGAGCAACAGACTTATCCTACGGTTTATGTATTTTAGAATGATAATGTTTTAAAAATTAGAGTCTTGATCCTTTTGATATTACTCTAATCAACTGATGACTTTCCATTTATCATTCAGACAATAGGATAAAAGGGCACTTGCATTTGGTCTGAGGTGAAAAATGCTGCTGTTGCTGGGTGTTGAGGAATTCAGGGGTTTGGTTTCTCATTTCAGAAATCTGAAGGATGGTCCAAGCTTCTTTTAATGACTTTTCCACAAAATTAACCTCTGAGCGGCCCCTTCTGCTGTAACCTAAACCAGATGTTTTGTGTCTTTTACTGCTTTCTTAAATGTATCTTTTCTCTTTCTTTAGTGAAAGCTGATAATTCTTCTGAATATTCGGTAGAGTGCTGATGTGGATGAAAGTTCCAATTGCTGTCATCTTGAAAAATTCTTTGTCTATGGTGAGTGACCTTATGTACAGTCACAAATGATGGAAATCATGCAAGAGCACAGAATGAAAGACCTATTTAAGACATGAGTCCCTGTGTCAGTCTAAGTGAATGCCTTTTGGGGCGTTTGATGGAAAACCCCACACAAAGGTATCAGGGGCCCACTTACTGCTTCACGTAATTTAAAATCAAACTAACATCCAACTAAAAATCCTGATCTTTTGGGGCCCAACCATGTGTTTTATTTTATACCCTTTTGGTTTTATTTTGTTTTGTTTTTTACTTTTGTATACATTCTCAAAGTTCCTAGTTCAGAGTTAGGCCCTTCTATGTTCATTCAATAATTTATTTTTACAAATTGGGCTTGTTATTCCATAAATCTTATTGTCGAAATATATTTTGGGTTCCATTGATAGCAACAATAAATTATCCAAGCCCAGGTGAAGGCTCTATGATTCATTTAAGGTGGTGATAACTTTTAGGCTATGAGTATGTACTCAGTTTGTTTGATTGATTACTCTAGGAATGAACCTAAGGTCATGTTTTTGTTTCAGGAACATTTATTATAGTGATATATTACCCCCCAAAAAACTATCAGAAAGAAACTGACTTGTAGTATGACTTAATTGCCTGCAATTGTTCTTACTAGATTTTATTGTTTAAAATTCTTAGGTCAATTTGAAGGCAAAACAATGAACTATTATCAGGGTTTTTTTAAATTAATGCCTTGTTATGAATGTTTACACATAAAGAGGCAAAGAACTGGGTACTTTGTTTTAGTTTTATCTTCTCATCTTTATTTTCATAAAATGCTAATCTGTATTAATTTAATGAATTCCCAGTAAATGGTGCCAGCTAAAAAGTGTCATTACTCTCGAGTATGGTTTTGATGGCATCTCATGAGGAACTCATTGTCTACCTTGACACACTATGTTTGCTAATCCATGAGGCTTAAGACCTTCTCAATAGAATACTAGTATAAACGTGGGGCTGAAGGTGAGATGGAGCCTTTCATATCAAGCCCATGTGTCCCTGATCACGGAGCTATCCTGGCAACCAGAGTATGAACGGTGAACCAAAGTAGCACAGGGAGCCTTAGCTCTTGAAACAGAGGCTGTTTCAGGGTGACCAGTACAGTCCAGGATTAAATATCCAGGGTAGCCTGGATCCCAATCTTAAAGATCCCAATCTTTAAGAACTCTGAAAAAATGAAGCCATTCTGAAGTCATTGTGGTGGTTTGTGCTTCCTCTAAGAAGTCATAGAGTCTGGCTTCAAGACTCTTAAATCTAGCATAAACCAAGTCCCCTGCAATTGCTACCTGCCATGGAAGACTTCTGGGTTATGATCACAAGAGACAGCCCACCCTCTCAGTGCTAGAAGGAAGCCTGGGAATGAGTGTATCAACTCCTTATTCTTGACCACAAGTCAGTACAAATGGGATTCAGGGGAGCACTAGGAAGTCACACCTTCCTTCTTTATCTAATGCTTAGGCTAAACTGTTGTATAAACTGTTATGTATAAACTGTTATGTGCCCTAAACCTTAGGGCTAATGTTTGAATCCTCATTAGGTAACATGTATCTGGCATGACCATTCATTCATTAAGTTAGGTGTTTAGATCAGTGAACTTTCTGGCTACCATTCTTGGGTACCCAGTATATTCTAGACCAGTGATTAGCAATATTTTCCTCATAAAGAGCTGGAGAGTAAATATTTTAGGGTTTGTGGGCTATCCAGTGGGTCTTGCAACCACTCAACTCTACCATTGTGGTATGAAAGCATCCATAGAAAACAGCAATGAATGGGTGTGGCTGCTGTCCAAAAACTTAACTTACAAAAATAAATGGATTTGAATTTGGCTTATTGGACCCAACTTACTGACCCCTGTGCTAGATCTGGATTAGACCCCTGACATATGGAACTGCACATATTCTTTCTAACCATCCTATGCAGTTGGTGTCATTATTTCAATTTTGCAGATAAAGAAACTGAAGTTCAGAGAGGTTGAGGAATGTGTCCAAAGTCACATAGCTAACAAGTTGTAAAGCCAAAATCACACCTTCATGGTCCCATCTCCATTGTGATCTAAGGGGGACTTTCTACTCTTCCTGAATATAAGTAACACATGTCCATCTAAATGTTAATGTGTTCAAAAATACAACTTTTCATAGAAATCTTTATAATGTCTTGATGGCTCAGCCTATACATATACTCAGCAATAATTACAGAAGTACACATAACAGAATGATGTCCCCAAAGCCAGGCATGCTACTTATCAATAAATTGATGGTTTCAGCCAATTCTTTTCTATTCCACTGCCTCTCATCTTTTTGACTCCCCTCAGCACTTCTTTCTGGTGTTCCATTTTAGCTTTCAAATTATGAACATGTGCAATGTGCCCTCTGCTAAATTATAAGAAGAACTGAGGTTATCAAGTTAAACCAGATAGTATTACAAACTAATCTACTATCAGTAGGTTCTGGCCTATGTGTAGCATCCATGCCTCTTCCCTGCATTGGATTGAAGTAAATAGAATTGCCCATCTTTTGTAGGTCAAAAGTGGCAGTTTCACACAGTTCAACCTAATCATAGAGAGCATAGATGCTGAGATATGCATTTTATCTGGTACTCATGAGTTTTTCTGCTATTTACTTTTGCAATTCATGGTGGTATTACAAATGATTAAGGCAGTAGTAGGTGAGCAGCCAGGAAAGTGAGGGAAGATAGAATAATTCCTCAATTTCATTGCATTCTACAATGCCACTGTCAGAGGACCAGAAGTCAGTCAAATTCCCTCTCAACCAGTCACCACACTGAAATAGGTTTTATCCCTACTTTTCAAAGTTTATCTTTTCAGGGTCTTTTGCAAAATCATCTCTTCAATCTTCTTTATTAGAATGATGTAAAGCAGTCAGATTGGCTTCATAGGCTCACAAGATAGTGGGTGAGCGAATCACCCAAGGGAATGAAATAGACATGGGAAAGAAACTTGGTAACCTGGGGGGAAAAGCTCCTAAAATATCAGAAACTTTACATAAACAGAAGGGCTTTAACACAAAAGGACCGTGAAATACATCATATGTTTCTCTCAGTTCAAAATGGGGAGAACTTCCAAAGGTTTCTCTGTTAGCACATGCACATCGGTATTTATATTCCTGCAGGGTTTGATCCATTTTCACTTCTGCTAAAAATAAATTGATTGTATAAAGAAAATTAAGAGACAAGGAAGATGTGTTGCCTCTATATTCAAATTTCTATGAGTAAACAGTATGGACATAGACGATTCCTGAAGACGAGGAATCAGTATTGATAAAACCTTAAAATAAACTAATAGAAATAACAAGTTAATGAAAGGAGTTGATAAACTTGTGGCATAGTTTCTTTGCCCATGGAAGAGAACATTTTTCAGCTACACTGGAGATTCAGGCATTTTCCTGGAAACTAGTAGAAAGTACAAGTTCAGAAAAATTAAAGAGTTTTAATATTCACCTTGTTCTCTACCTGGACACTGTCACCTTCCCCCAGCACTGCTGTGTGATGTGGTTCTATTTTTTGTTGTGCATCATCAGGCCCTGCAAAAAAAAGGTCACCCACTAAATGTAATACTCATCACAGTATATTTATCACATGGTTACAAGTTTGGTGAAATACATAGCACTGTAATAGTCACTTAACTTCAGAAATAACAGACTTAGGATTCTTCTTAAATCTCTTGGTTGATTACATGTACAATGATTAAAGTCTGAAACTGGCTGGTTTTCATTGTAGAAAACATCAGGGAGTTGAACCTTGCATTGTGTTTCTACTTGCACCTTTAATGCCATGCCTAGTAGTTCAACTAATAAGCAAAGCCCTTAACATTACATGATAAGAAGAGTGTTTCCTTGAGTAAATTATAAACCTCATAATAATTAGGCATATTTAGGAAAATGAGTAAATGCCATCATTAATTCATTTTGACAAGTGTATATTGTGTACCTATAATTTCTAGTTCTGAGAAAATATAAAGAAATGCAAAGCACATTCCTTGCATACAAATACTTCAAAATCTCACTGGGGGAAACTAGATAATATTAACAAAATAGTCAGAGAATAATGTGTTGAAATATAAGTTGGATAGCTAGTGAACTATGAACAAGGCCTAATGTTAAATGCTGTGGGGAAATATTCAGGATGGATACATTTTTATTCCTTCTATACTGAGGCTCACAGATGAAATAATACAAGTGAAATTGTGCCTTAAAGACAACAATAAAGTCATAAGGAAAGTTTAATGAGAGAACAGAGACTGTAGAGGCTAATTCAGGTCTAGGGGCCCTCAGAATTTGTTGTGGATGAGTTAAGTCTTGAACAGAGCTCTACAGGATTAGAGAGACCTACAAAGGCAAAGCTAGGATGAAGAACATTCTAGACAAGAGGACAGTCTGTGCAAAGGTACAGTGCTGGGAATGTGCAGGGCATCTCTGAGGGATGGTGAATCTTCCACAATGGCTAGAAAATTCTTCCAGAAAGAATGATGGAAAATTAGATGGAAAAAAAAGTAGGTAGGAAACTAGGTCAAGGTGAGACTTGAGGTCAATGCCTATCCATATAAAATGGAGGGCCTTTGATAAAAGTGTGTGTGTGTGTGTGTGTGTGTGTGTGTGTGTGTGTGAGAGAGAGAGAGAGAGAGAGAGAGAGAGAGAGAGAGACTGAGAGAGTCAGAGACAGAAATAGAAAGAAATTGTCAGATCTGTGTCTTGGAGAAATAACTCTGGGATCAGAGCATAAAATAAATTATAGGGGGCAAGACTCAAGTTATATTGACCTATTTGGAGTTTTTTGTAATAGTCTAAGCGAAAATGAATGACATTCTGAACTGAGAGAGTGGACACATAAACACGGGGAATGATTTGAGAGGTAGAGTTAAGAAGGAATCGAAAGGATTTGGCAACAATAGGAGAGAGAAGAGTCTAGAAGCAGAATAATATAGTCTAGAAGCAGAGGGCACATTGCACATGTTCATAATTTGAAAGCTAAAATAGAACACCAGAAAGAAGTGCTGAGGGGAGTCAAAAAGATGAGAGGCAGTGGAATAGAAAAGAATAATATAATAATATAGAAGCAGAATAATAATACACTGAAGGTTACAACAGTGTAATCTTCAAGAGGAAGCTAGAGAATGGAGAAGCCAAAGCAGGATAGAACAGTCACATGAATGGACAACAGAAGGAAGATTCTAGGCAGGGTGAGGAGCCCATAAAGATGTCCAGGGGGCTGTACCCACAGGACAATAATAATCAATAAGGAAATATTTATTGAAATAAAGACAACAGCTTGAGGAGTTATTAAATGAACAGAAATATAACTTGTGAATTTTGTAAATGTTGCTTAGAATCCAAGTATAGCTATATTTTCTGGAGAAATCCTCCACTTTGGAGATAACATATATGAAGCAACAAGGTTCATTCTGATGCTCGCAAACATGAAATAGGATTCTCATAGGGCAGGAGTTCTTCACCTGGAGTCAATGTGTTCCCAAGGGGTCTGTGGATAGAATTCAGAGCAATCGCAATCATGAATGGAAGATACATTACATTTTTATTTTCACTAACACCTAACTGAAATGTGAGCATTCCTTTAGGCATAAATTTAGCCAACGAAGCACAGTATTAGCTGGACCAATGACTTGGTCTCCAGTAGAAACCACAAGTGTTTTCATGTCAAGTAGACTGGATGCTGGATTGTGTTATTCAAATGCCATTAGAGAAGCACACATATAACTATATCACAAATTTGTTCTTTTAACACATTAATGACTTCATTGAGTTTAAAAAAATACATCATTCAGAGGTGGGACCTTGGCAAATGTCAAAAGGGTCCATGGCATAAAAAAGATTATGAACCTCTGTCCCAGAGGCAGAGATGTGCTAGTTAATGTTTAAAACTAGCTTTTAAAATCAAGGGGGAGCACAAAACTTATTTGTAGTGTGTGCCAGTTTCTGTGGTGTAAGTGCTCCCACCGTGGCTAATTTTAAGCTACCAATGTGAGGCCAGAGAAGAGGTGCACACCACTAGAGGTTTCTTCTCCATCCAAGATTTAGGTCAACAAATGCCATGGAGGTGAATGATAGAACTGTTAGTTTTCTGCACATGCAAGGATTTTGCAGTAAAAGAAAGTTTCTAGACTCTAAGAATAATCTCATTTAAAGTTGGGCAATATTTTTAACTGTGATATGGAGCAGTATTTTATTACAGTGCTTTAGTGCAATTCGCTGGGAGCAACGAACTATGTCTCTACCTTCAAATAATTCATATGTAATACCTGTTGCTTACATGGTCTACTCCTGGCCTCTAATTTTATCATGAAGGATGGGTCCTGATACACAGACCCAAACAATGTATGCAGCCCCTTCACTATATTGTAATGCACTGTACTGAAAAGAGACAGCCCTCAAAAAGAGTGCCGGATTGGGATTTCTCTGCACCCCCTATGATAGACTCTGGTGTTCATTGGTCTGTAAGGAAATCTTTACTTAGAAACAGTTCGTGTTTTACTAACAACTCTAACTTCATATGAAATGGCATGTCTGCTCACTGTCCTTACTGATCTAGGAGAAGAAGCATAGTGTTGATTCTGAAGAGCACATTTATAATGCTTCCCACTAAAAGACACTGGAGTTGGGTTTCCAGGTTAATCATTCTAAGTGTACCTTAGCTGTTGTATTCTTTTATGAAACATTTAAAACAGGATCACAGAAAGCAGACTATTTCTATCTTCATGTCATTTCTATGCTAGTTCACCCATCTGGTTATCTCCGGAGTCCAAAATAGGTCTCAAAGAAAATATATTTTATTGTTTCTGACTACTTTCAATTACAAATAGAGCCAAATCAGATAATAAATAGTTTCCATTGGGAAGCTTTGCCAAGAATGTTAAATCTAATAGTGCAGTTAAGAAAAATTTAACTGAAAACAATTAAATTAAAATATTTTTTGTTTGCCTAAACAGTCATAAAAGGCGAAATACTTTCAAACATGTTTTAAAGTTAGTGCTGCATCTACAGTGGGTGATTAATTGCTGTGCGGCTTTTCCCCACATGCCAATTTTCCTTTTCCTTTGCTTCAAAAGAACGGCTGTCCTATGTATTCTATTTCACATGCTCTGCTACTAACATCATTGATTTTGATATCACCACTTTTATACATACAGTGGTAGCCTTCTTATCTAATTCAATCAAAATCATTAACTGAAAAACACAAACTGCCTGAACATTTACTTTAAATTAAAGTGTAACTATACCTTCATTTGGCAATTTTGGGGAATAAAGCCAAGTTAGGTCTGCTGATTCGACTGAAGCATCATCTTTCCTCATAAAGCATACATACAACGAGCCACTGAAATCCTCCTAGATTATTAGTTTCCCCCAATCTTTTACTGTCACCTCTCCCACATTAATTCAAGGCTTATCTATAGCAATTTATCTTTGCAAAGCATTTGACTTAGTTGTTGTAGAAAATCTCTTTTCACATTATTTCATGAATGAACATACTGCTCCATTAAATTGCATAATTGCAATTATTGGTGCAACTGGCATAAACAGATTTGAGAGCAATCATAACTACCAAGTTAATTTGGATCTGGCTGGATGGAGTAGCAATGGACACGTAGCCAGGAAGCTGGTCATTCTGGGTGTTCAAGCACCTTACTCAAGGTATTTACCATGGACTGAAGTACACGGGTGAGTCTAGCTCAGTTTGGGTAAGTGGAGGTCAATTCAGAGGCTTCTAGTGTGTTCACTTACCTTTACGAACATCCAGGAGCCATATCAAATTTGTTTAATACTACCCACAACCAGAAGCAAAGAACTAGCCACAAATAATTACTTATTTAAATAAGTCTGTGACATTTACTACTAGTTAATATTTACTACCTATAACATTTACCACCTGTATAAGCCAGTTAGCTGTCAGTTAAATAATCACACACAAATACTTTTAGATTTCTAAATATATTTTCTAAGCCCCAACAGTATACTTGATAATGGTCCTCCTAGGAGACTGGCATCGTGCATGATACACTGTTCCAAGCTTTAGAGATACAGGATCTAATTTTTTTATCCTTTTTAAAATTAACATGGATAATTACACGCGTTAAAGTGTAATGTCATTTTCATCACAGCTACAAGGAAGAGGTTCAGTGCTAGTATCCTTGGAATCTATTGGATTTCTGGCCACATAGTTATTATTTTCTTTGGATTTTTAAAATCATATACCGCAAAGATTTCAGCTGAAGGCTGGTCAAAGGACTGCCTGCCTCAGGAAAAAAAATTGTGTCAAAGGTAACTTTCTCCTGAACCATTTTTAAAGCTACTATTTCACAGTCAGCTTAGAAGGCTTGAAAAACAAACCCAATGTATCAAAAATTAAGAAGATCCCAGAAAAGCATAAGATATCTCAAATGCATACTTTTAAAAATAAGTGTTAAGTCTACTCATCTCACTTTATTTCTGTTAGCTCTTTCTTCGGGGTGTCATGAGAAGGCAATTACATGGCTCCTCCATACTCACCATGAAGTTGAAAATATCAGACCAACTCAGACAGCTCGTTCATATCCAGCATTTTCTACTGTTCAAAACTCTACCTATCTAGATTCAAACTGAATCTGTTGGTGTTCATCTTTTATGCAATTCTTGCATCAATTAACATTTTTAAGAGTACTCCTAAATCTCCACCTTATGGAATCTCCCCGGATTATTTTCTGATCCCAAAGTGTTGTCTGTTTATTCTATAGATTTTATAAATCAGCATATATTCAATAGCTATTTCTGCTTTGTCATTTCTTTTTTGGTGGTGATTTGTTCTTGCCCTTTTGTTTTTCTCATTAACATCTCTATTAGGGAGTGGGTAGAAGGAAAGGAGGGAGATAATATTCAAATGAGGTCATCTGGCCAGTCACTCACTGGCTAAAGCAGAGACCCAAGAGGCCAGTTTTGTGAGCTGAATTCTCTCCAAGGTTCAGTTTACTGTGGACAGATGCAAGTTCACTCCCACGCTACAGACTGTGACCCCGTTTCCTGCCAGATGTTTTGCACTTATGGCTCATGGTCACGAGGATGGACCAGGCCAGTGAGCAGAGATGACTCAGGAAAATAGGCCTCACCTACAAACAAATAGATGTGTAAGTCATTCTTCCTCCTTGAACTGTCGAGCTTTTTACTTGTAAATTCTTGGACTAAAGGTCTGTCAGAAAACAAGACTGTAACTACTGACTAGAATAGGTTTTGAATTATTCGTTAATTTTTCTCCTCTTTACCCTTACAATAACATTTAAACCAAAAATCAAATGTCACTTTTGTAGTACCCACATGCTAAGAAAGATTTTTACATTTTTAAATGGTTGAAAAATACCAAGAGTAGTATTTCATGATGTAACTGAATAGAAACTTCATTTCTTCAATATGATCTTTTCCTCCTGTCTTTGCTTTTGATTCAAACTGGCCTTGTCCAGCCTAGGAGCTCCCTGACTCACCTGCCTCCTTCTCCCTTGCACATCCACTCCTTTAATCACTAAGCCCTCAGGACAGTGAGGCTCTGATCAGCATCAAACAGTCTTAGGAGCAAAGCCTCCTCAGGTCTGTTGGTCACAGAGACAGAGTTTGTGTCAAACCAAAGGTAACCTGTAAGCCTGAGCTGTGTTTCAGCTCCAGGCCCAGAAAAGCAGAACATCCCCACGGACCACACCCTTGTGAAACCAGACAGTGCAGCCCCCCCGGCTGGCATCAGGACCAGGTGCAATGACCAGCTCCCCTTACCCTGGCACCAGCCAATCAGTAGAGACCATGACCCTAACTCCCCTAGTCACCATGATTAATGATTTTTCCCCATATAACCCATCCCCTAGAAGCCAGGAGGAGCCAGGTCTTACATAACAGCTCACCTGTGCCTCCAGGTTTGGCACCATTGCCTAAAATACACCTTTACTTTCTTCACTGCAAACTCCTGTTGTCATCTTATTAGGCTTTGACGTATGCAGGCAAACAAACCCCTTTAGTTCAGTAACAATAGCACATGCAAAATATTTGAAATTCACAACTCAGTGGCCATAAATACAGTTTTATTGGAACAGCTACTGCAATTGTTCCCATATTATTGTGGCCACTTTTATGCCACAAAGGCAGGAATGTATCACTTGCGTCTCAAACTGTATGGTCCACATTGATGAAAATATATGCTATCTGGCCTTTTACAGAAAGTTCGCTGTCCCTGCTTTTTCTCATTCTACATAAATATTTCTGGTATCCTTACCACCTTAGGAATCATGTGCTTTCTTTATTACTTTCTGTCTGTGCATTTTGTTTCTCTTAAAATCATTAGTCTGGGGTGCTACCTCCAAAAATGGTTTGTCCTCTTCCTTTTTTAAAGATTTTATTTATTTATTTTAGAGAGATGGGGAAGGGAGGGAGAAAGAGAGGGAGAGAAACATCATTGTGTGGTTGCCTCTAGCACATCCCCTACTGGGGACCTGGCCTGCAACCCACACATGTGCTCTGACTGGGAATCGAACCCGCGATGCTTTGGTTCTCAAGTGTGTGCTCAATTCACTGAGCCACACCAGCCAGGGCTGTACTCTCCATTTTTATTTAAAAAAAAAGAAAGAAAAAACACTACATGATACCCAAGATTTTCAAAAGAGCAAGATGCAAGTGATGCTTCTTCTCTTCCAGATGGTTAATATAGTTGAATGTGCGTGCACATGGGCCTGTGATACTACTACACGGTTTTTCACATTTTCTCAAATGCTAAAATAAATGAGTTTTGCTTCTGACCCACAACTGAAATATTGTTACTGAAAGAGGAGCTAAACCCATTTCTACTGTATACAAACCAAAATACATGGGTTTGTCTTACCATGATTTTCCTGAAAAAATCATTGCAGACAGTTGAACACCCCTTTTGGAAAAGATAAAAAGAATGGTTTCAGCCCCTGGCTGGTGTAGCTCAGTGGATTGAGCGTGGGCCTGCAAACCAGACAATCGCGGTTCAATTCCCAGTCAGGGCACATGCCTGGGTTGCAGACCAGTTCCCTGCAGGCCAGTTCCCAGCAGGGGACGCATGAAAGGCAACCATACATTGATGTTTCTCTCCCTCTCTCCTTCCCTTCCCCTCTAAAGATAAATAAATAAAATATTTAAAAAAAATAAAAAAAAATTAAAAAAAAAAAAGAATGGTTTCAATGGCTCTCAGTGTGGCCTTCAAGCCTTGAGCAGATATTATCAGTAAGCTATCTATCTAGGGTTGGAAGCGTACTACCCAAGGAGGTGGCCATGCGAGGGCCTCGGGAAGTTCACTGTTGAGAAGGCTAGCCTGCTAGAGTGGGGTGGAGTGCACTTAACTTAAGATGGTCTCTGAAATGGGATTGTTGGCCTGTACCTCGGAGCAGTCAGATATTCTGCCCACCCCACCCCACCCCACCCCCATCCACTCCACCTATCATTGTCCATGAGGCTCAAGAAAGGGAAGAGGGGAGGCTGATTCTCTTACTTTAGGTTTTCCCAGAAGCGTAGCCTTAAATATAGATTTGAATGGAAGGAATTTATTTGGGAGGAAGTCCTAGGAAACAGCAGTCCAAGAAAGGTAGGAAAGGAAAGGCAGACAGTGAAGGGTGTGGTATCAAGGACACAGCCACTGTGGGCCGCTGGAACATGATCCCACAGGAAACTCTAGGTAAAGGCCTCACATACAGGCTTCAGGGTTATCCCACCTGAGGGGTGAGGGAGCTTCCAGGGATATTAATTCCCTAGCACTGACTAGAGCAGATCAGCCTCCCAGGTCTCAGAGAAAGCCTCAGGCTAAGAGACACAGTGGCTACTGGCAGTTGGAAGTTCCACACTGGAGAGTTAGGATGACAAGCTAAATGGTATGGTCACTGCATTGTCCTTGCACAAAGAATATGGTGTTGTATTCAATTACATGAAAAAGTTCATCTTATGTTTCCTCCCCTTTAGTAGTTTAAATTACATTGCAGTTGAACCCAAAGCAACACATACATCACTTACCAATATACACATTCCCAGAGATGGTATAAATGAAGCTTGTCCACCCTGAAAAGGAACCAGCAACATTAAAATGCTAGTGGCCATAATACCAAAAGGAACAAAGATACAGCAATATATTGAACAATATCTGTGCATGGAAAATATAAACATATAAATTATATAACACATATAAAAGATAAACTTAGAGATAAAATCCTTTGTTTTACATATATACTTTAAAAGTTAAGTTTTGTGAGCCATTTACAACACACACTCACACATGCGCACATGCATCCACACAGCCCTAAACCTAAATGACTAGGCGCCAAGTGTTTTCAAGCCACACAAGGAGACAGTGTACAATTTGCTTAGCTATGTATGTGTATATATCTATACGCCAACAGCTGTATTAGCAAACACTGCCTTCCAGCTCTAACATCATGCTAATAACTGTAACACACCAGTCTGGCTTATTTTCAGTTCATTGTGCTTCTTTCTCTCCCAGAAGAGAATGTAGAAATGTGCTTTTATTTACTTAGTTGTACTTTAGTTTCCAGTGAACTCATTTCTTTTTATCTATCCTAAAATAGAGCATCAGATGCAGGGGTGCAGGTATGCATAATGTTTGGGGACACAAATGGACTTTGGGCAGCCTGTGTGCTCCCTGGAACTGTCCCCACAATTTTTCCAGTGTGGACACTCTTCTGTGAAAAGGGTACACGACATTCACCAGATTCCTACTGTGACCCATGGGGCCAAGAGCTCACAACCATGGACCAACTACCATTGGTTCTCTGAGCACCGGCACTTGATTTTCACGGACATTTAATTATTGTACCAATGGCCTAGGAGAGATGCTGCTGTGCCACTGAGAGACATGAATCTAGAAATGGCAAGCTCAAAATGGACTTAGGACATTACTCTGTGCCTTTGGTGGAAAACAAAAAGATCTGGGAAGTGAATGCAGAGCAGAGTTCAAGGTGGTAGGGCAGCGCCCTAACTGGAGTCTGTGAGAACCATGCAGTCATCAGAACAAAGGTGGGGGTGGAAGGGTCACAGAAGACATCTCTAGGGATGTGGATATGATGGCAGGTAGAGTGAAACATGCGACGGAGGCACAGAAGAAAAGGTCTAACTGATAAAACTTAACAAATTGAGTTTGGTTAAGAAAATCTGAAAGATGGCAAAACAAAGATACTTGGGTGGATGCCAAAGGATTATTTTTTCGCCCTTGTACTTCAATTTTCCCCTCTGAGATTTGACTAGAATAAGTTTTAAGGCCTCTGGAAGTAACACTCTCTGTTCATGGCTCATTCACACTTGTTCTCCCTCATTGACCCACTTGCCAGTCCTCTTAGCTACCAGTCCTCAGTCTACCATGATTTAGTGAACATTTACCACTCACTGTGGGTGGAGACAGGAAGAGGAATAAGGCACAGCCAAGTTTTCAGGTCATGTGACTTTGCAGAGGGAGGTTCATGGTAGATGCTGAAAATCCATGCTAACAATTCACAGCCCCGTTCCCCATGTCTTACCCTGACAGGCTTTGTAATGGATGCCGAACTTCCCTGGTCCTATTTAATCTGATTTGTAATAAAACTATGCAACAGAATCCCTTCCTTAGCTGCTTTTCAAAAAAAAATTCACCACTGAAATTGCTTACATTTATTTTTCAAAGTGTAAATATTTGTATTGGGTTTTTTGTTTTCATTATAAAAAGTAACACACATTAAAACTGGAAAATACAGACATGGGCAAAAGTAGGTTTCCAGTTGTGAGTGACATATTCTTGTGAGTGGATAAAGCTGCTGTAATAATCAGCATGTCCTTTTCCACATGAACAACTGGACACCTACTTTTGCCCATGCCTGTGTGTGTGATGTCACCCAAACAGGAAATGGTTCTGCAATCTTCAGACTTACCTGACAGGATTATTGTTAGCAATTCTGTATTTGCACTTTCAGTTTCTTTTATTTTTTTATGCACTCTATAGTGTCTGCTTAAGAACTAGAATTAACAATGATCTGTTTTGGGTACATTTTCATATCAAAATGTGCAGAAATAACTCTTCCTTGGGAAAGACTGCAAAACATCCCATTCTAAGGATATGTTGTAATTCGTGTAAGGTATATGGTATAAAGTAATGATTTCCAAGTTTGACAGACTCACAAAGTTTTCAATTGCTCAGCTGGGTTTTCGTCTGGGATTATTTTGATTGTTCTAATCTCATCTCTCCTCTGTCCCATTCATTCCTACTCACCTTCCATGCAAAGTAGTCTATACATAATCGCCTAGGTCTGTTTTGTTTCACTTTTTATCTTCTTACATGATCCAAAAGAACTGAATATCTGCTGAAAGGTAGGGTCAAGCCAATTTATTAAGTATATGTGCCTATTTTTGTTCTGTGAAACCATCTTCTACTAGAAGGATAGTGTCTATCTTTATCAGTAATAACAATTCATGTTACTGATTGGGAGGCATAGAGTTTAGAGGGACTGAAATAGGAGCAGGAGGATGATCTCCTTTTTTCCTTCTTTTTAACATGTTGTCCCTCTGTACTTGCTTCTATTAAACTTTGTTTAATGTCCATCAAGCACTGTTTCTTAAAACAAGAGTCAAATTGTGTGAATGCTTATTATATGTTTAAGAGCCACCATATTTTACTAGAATTCCTTCTCCGCTAAGGGCAGAATTGTATCAGCAAAGAGTTCTCTTGTGACATTTTCAAATCCTTCTCCACTTTCTATCTTCTCCTACCTCCCTCCCACTTTGATGTCCTGCACCAGCAATTGATACCATCCCCACATTTTTATGGTGCCGTCAGAGGTCACTGGCCCTACAGTTCCTGTCTTCTACAGATGTCCTCTCTAAACTCCTGGCTCTTTGGAGTTGGGAAGCTCTTCCCTTCCCTCGGGCAATAACAAAGAATATGAATTGGGATAGAGGTCACATTTCACCTCTGGCCCTGTAGGATGGTTTAATCAGTAACACATTTAAGTCAGAACTCCTTTAGTCAAATGTAAAAAATGTAACTTTTCTTTTCAATATGTAAATCATTTTCTGTGGCATTTGCTCTCATTGCTACCAAGGTTCCCAAATCTTGCAAAGGTCCCTAGGGACAGCTTTACTTGGATTACATTCCTTGCCTCAATCCACCTCATTTTCCTCCTGCCTGTGAGTCTTAGAGTTCATTAGTTCAATGAATTTCACAACCACTCCTTACACATATATGTGTGGAGATGTAGCAAAACATGGCCTGGTGACACACCAGACCCTTTACAAATTCAGCTCTGGGTAGGGAAGGAGAGAGGGAAAAAGTGAGGGAAATGTGGCTAAGGAGAGAACGAACCTCTCTCCAAACTCTGGGTCACACATGTGGCCAGCCCCCAGTGCTGCTTTCTAAGAGACCTGCCCCCCAACTGTGTTCAGAGTGGGCAAGCAGCTCCCTCACCATGGACCTCATGCCTGGCCTGCTGAGGTCCTCTCCTTCCCCTCCTTACTCCACCAAATTATTTCAAGTTTTATTTTGAAATAATTTCAGACATACAGAAGAGTTTCAAAAATAGTACAGAGAATGACCATCATTCACCCAGATTCTCCAAAAGCTAGCACGTTATCCCATATGTACTTTATTATTCTTCTCTTTAGAAATATATGTCATTCTTTTCTTCTGAAATATTTGAGAGCATACTTGCAGACATCATACCCCTTTACCTTGAAATAATTTTCAGTATGAATGTTCTAAAAACAGATATCTTTTTATAGAACTATAGTGTTCTTATAAAAATTATGAAATGATATAGTATCAGTGAAAAAATTATGACCATTAATACAATACTACTATGTATGTACAGATATTCCAATTGTGCCAGTTATCTCAGTAATGCCTTTTATGGCAAAAAGAAACAAAAATTTCAAGGCAAGTTCCAATCTGGGTTTACTTGCTGCATTTAGTTGCCATGTCTAATCTCTTTTCATCTAAAACATTCCTCAGTATTTTTCTTTCCTTAAAAGTACAGACCAGTTATTTTGCAGAACAGGGGTATCCAACGTTTTGGCATCTCTGGGCCACACTGGAAGAAGAAGAGTTGTCTTGGACCACACATTAAATACACAAACACTAACAAAAACTGATAAGCCATGAAAAGGTCTGTGCATAATTTTCTTGAGATCCACCTCCACAGATAAGCAAAAAAGTCTTCACATAATAACCCTATTATGAAGCAGCCCTTTTGATAATCTTTTAAAATCATCAAGCAGTTTCCAAGTTTGTGATCACTAATACAGAAAATGTACATATCTAAGCAATAAAACTTAGTATAAAATTTAGTAATAAAACTAAGTAATGTTTTAAGTAAATTTGCGATTTTGTGTTGGGCTTCCTTCAGCCATTCTGGGCTGCAGGTCGGACACCTCATGACTTGGTTTCCAAGGAGCAAAATAACACAACAGTGATGGGCTGTCACTTCTGAGATTAGGTTACATAAAGGCTCCGGCTTCCATATTGCTAACCCCTTTTGACACTCGCACTTGCTGGCTTGGATGAAGCCAGCAGCCATGCTGTGAGCTGTGCTATTGAGAGGCCCATGTGGCAAGGTCCTAAGAGTGGACTGCAGCCAACAACGTTCAAGAAACTGAATGCTACCAACAACCCCATGGCTGTGACTTTGGAAGTGCACCCTTTCCCTTTCAGCTCTGGGATGACTGCAGCCCTGCCTGACACCGTGATTGCAGCCTTGTAAGGGTCCCTGATTCAGAGGACACAGGTAAACAGTAAGACACCATGAGATAATAAATGTTGCTTCAAGCCACCAGGCTCTAGATATATTGATAGATAACTACTACAAGTAAGATTTATTTAAACATATCTTAATGTGGTTTACTGAGTAGCTACCATATGCATGGCATTAAAATCTACTTTCTGAAAAGTGTTTCGAAGCATTTATTTCTTTTCCCCAGTTTTACTAAGATATCATTTGTGTGGCTCCTTACCCTTTGTCCCTGTTGAAGGTAAACATAGAAGCAAAAATGTATTAATATTTAGGAGGGTGCATTCATTTTTCTATTGGTGCTGTAACAAATTGTCATAAACTTGGTAGCTTAAAAAAATAAAACTTTATTATTTTACAGTTCTGGAGGTCAAAAGTCCAAAAATGGGTTTGAATCATGTAAAATCAAGGTATCTGTCCTGGCTGGTGTAGCCTCAGTGGATTGAGCGTGGGCTGCGAACCAAAGGGTTGCAGGTTCAATTCCCAATCAGGGCATGTGCCTGGGTTGCGGGCCAGGTCCCCAGTGGGGACCACGTGAGAGGCAACCACACACTGATGTTTCTCTCCCTCTCTTTCTCCTTCCCTCTCCCTCTAATAAATAAATAAATAAATAAATAAATAAATAAATAAATAAATAACCTTCAATAAAAATCAAGGTGTCTGCTAGGCAGGCAGTGTTCCTTTCTGAGGTTTTATGTGAGTGTTATTTCCTTGCCTTTTCTAGCTACTACAGGTGGCCTCGAAATCTTGGCTGCTGGCTTCCTTCCATTTCAAAAGCAGCAACTGCATCACCCTGACCTCTGCTTCCATTGTTACACCTCTCTCTCTCTCTCTCTCTCTCTCTCTCTCTGACTCCTGTCTCTGTCTTTTATTTACACAGATCTTTATGATTATATTGGGTCCACTGGATTATCCAGGCTAATCTCCCCATCTCAAGATCCTTAATGTATCCCCCTTGTCATGTAAGGTAACATAATGACAACTCGGATATTTTGATGGAGTCATTATTCTGCTGTCCTTTCACTGTTCTTCTTTTTTATCTTCTTTTTTTAGGTAAGTCCCTTTAATATTTCATATAATAAGGGCTTGGTGATGATGTAGTCCTTGAATTTGGTCTTATCTGAGAAGCACTTTATCTGTCCTTCCATTCTAAATGGAGGGGTAGGCTATCTATTTTCTAAAGAAAGTTTGTTGATTGACATACATATGCATATACTGTAAAGTTACAATTAAGGGAGGTAAAAACAGGCTTACAAAATGAATTTTCCCATACCTTAACAATTCTCCTTTTTTTAAACATCCTGGATCATGTTTTTTAAAAAGCTAGTAGCAGAGGCGCTCTGAAGGGAGATGGGGAAAAGAGAGTGGCTGTTGACGGCCAAATCATGATGCAGTCAGTCAGAAGACAAACGGGACATGATGACCAGAAGCCACAAATTTCTTGGAAAAGATTAATATTTTCCTAGAAGTACAGATTTATGTCCTTCCAAGTGAATGATAACAAACAATGCTATCTGTACATCACTTCACAGCAAGGAAAATTGGACTGCATAGCAAAAGATGGTAAAAGTCACAGAGAGAGAGAGAGAGAGAGACACTACTTACTCTTATTTTAGCCAAGAAATTACATGAAAAATGTGTGGCCAATGTGAAAAGAATCTGGTACTGTCAGAGACTTGACAAATTGGATTATTTGTAAGTGATGTACCATGCAGCTCCATTCCTGATATTAACTGCCTTCCAAAATCATCACTGCATGAAACATCTGTTTTCTGCAAGATTAGCACAGCTCCACGGAAACGTGCCTTGCCCGAAGGAAATAAAGACAAGGTAAAAATCAATTCCAATACTATTTATGGGAAGGAATTCAGAAAAAATAATTTAGTCTCATGAGAAATGCTTTCCGTCTCCCTTAATGGGTCACCCCTTGGGAAACGTGCATTTTCCTGGTATAGGAATGGGATGGTAACAGTGTATGCCTCTATCTCTAGCCAGCTCATTTGGTAATGAAACAACGAAGTCAACATTAGTTAGATTGCAAAACTTATGCCAAAATCCAAACATAACCCAGATATCCATGTCAGGTCCACTTACCATGAGTAACAAAGCAATCAAAATATTATAAACAAAACAGTGGATGCCATAAAACATCCAAATACAATTAATTTAGACAGGCCTTGGATTTGACAATAGAATTTGACCTGGACACAGAGACCCACCTCAGAATGAAAGATACATACAGACTAAAAGTAAAGGGTTGGAAAAAGAGATTTCATACAAATGGAAAGGTACTTTTAAACAAAGACAGAGGGTGAACTTGGCTTAAAGGACTTGATAATAAAATTTGTACAGCAGAATTTTATCAACCAATATGTCTGACTCCAGGCAGCCAGAACTATCATGTCTATAAAATGTGTCATAAGATCTGAATTGTTTGTTTGGTACTAGACAGAGAAGCCTCTAACTTTGGATATGTCACCTAATGCAAGCAAGAACGAATGTATGTGTGGGTGTGAGAGAGAGAGACAGACAGACAGAGACAGACAGAGAGAGCACTATAACTAGAAGTGATGTCTTAGAAGAGAAGGAGCTTCTGCTTCATTGCTTGGTTTATAAAAGATTTGTTTAAAGTGGGTTTGCAGTGACTCAACAATAAATGTACATTTCTAAGTTACTTGCTTTTGTTTCCTTCCAAAAACTGTTTTTGAAAATTAATCTGACTTTCAAAATTTGTAGTAGCAAAATAATACAGAAGTACAACTCTGCTATCAGATAGATACGCATTCTCTCATGAAGCCACACAGAGTGGTAGAACAAAAATTGACATGAACTACGTATAGCATTGGTGGGAGCATGGAGAAACTGGTAGAAGCCTAATGAAAAGTGTGACTGCGTTTTGGAATGCTACTTGAAATCATCTTTTAAAAATTAAATGTATGTATACCTTGTGAGCATCCCTGGAAACCTGAAACATCAAAATAAGCCCCCATATGGAAGGACACAAGTACAGGGATATGCACTACAGACCAGTGAGCAGTGGCCAAGGGCTAGGAACAAAGGGACTGCCCACTGATAGGAAATAGCTAACTGTGTTGCAGTCAACCCATGCCATAGAATGCCATCATTCGAGAGAGCCACATGAGCAGACTGGGAAGAATGTCCATGAAGTATAGTCTAATCAAAAAAGCTACTGGTGTAGCTCAGTGGATTGAGCGTGGGCTATGAACCAAAGGGTCTCCAGTTTGATTCCCAGTCAGGGCACATGCCTGGGTTGCGGGCCAGGTCCCCATTGGGGACCACATGAGAGGCAACCACACACTGGTGTTTCTCTGTCTCTTTCTGCCTCCCTTCCCATCTCTCTAAAAAAAATACAAAATGCAAAAATGTATTTATAATACAATTCCATTTTAGTAAAGCCATGAGAAAATAACCCCATATATCTGTGTATTCACATGTATATATATGTCATTATACAAATGTAAGTGTGGACAAAAACACAGCAAGATCTAATTCAAGAACACATCCAGATCTGAGATATATAGAGGAGGTACTGTGATGGGCTGATAAGGGAGAAAAAAGGAAAGCAGGGACGCAAATTCTAAAGTAAAAGAAAAAAGTTAAAGCGTGTGGGCTATCACATATGTTGTTATAAAAATTATGTATAAGGGTAGGCATATGTTTAAGTGAATTAATTAAAATCTTTTCTGTATTTAAAAATAGCCAGAATGAAAAACAACCCAAAGAAGAAAACAATGGCTCTGAGATTAATGCCTAATGACTTCAGGTTCAACAATTTTTTTAATAAATAAATGCTTGGGAGTTTTCTAATTATTCTTCGCATTTAAATGTTGCCCTAAACATAAGTCTTCCATAGTGATACCTTTATCAAAAGATGCATGTATCTCAATCAAGGATGCACTTGTTCATAAGTAACAAGATCAGAATTTGCCTCCAGGAACACTGGATACCAACAGCAGTCAGGAAGTCCAGAGATGTGGCTAAAAGTCCTGTCTTGTCCACAAGCCTTTACATGGCTTTGACACTTTGCTGACTCTCAGGCCTTAGTGTTCATACCTGTAACATGATGAAGGTGGCCCAGATGGTCCTGCCCCAACAACCTATGCCCTAACTTGAAAGGTCCCATCAATACTGGCTAGTTTAAACATCATAAAATCTAAACTAAAGTCATAGAATTTTGTGCTGAGTTTAAGAACCAAGTGCATTCTAGAGAAAGTGGCCCCCTGTGTTTTTTTTCCTGAAATGCTCACTAAACCCCAGAACCCTTCATACCTTTAGGAACAGGCTGGGAATGCTTCGCTCCTTGGTCCAGTTTGAAGTCCAAATATAAGGTTGGTGTGCGAGTATAAACCTTGGACTGAAAAGAGAGGGGGAACAATTGGCGTCTTTCCAAGAATAAGGTTCTTCCTTACTCCAGCTGGGCCCTTCTTGATGGGCCCAGGGCCTGAATCCATTATACATACAATTCTTCCTTTGGATACATGCTATTAAAGCAGGGGTGGGATGTCAGGTGCTGGATGGTTTGCAACTAAAGTCTCCTCTTAAGGGTCCTGGTCTAAAAGTTAGCCTTCCTAGCTTTACAATGTGGTTGATGAGCTATCATATTTCAGGATGATAGCTACCTCTCAATAGCCATTTCTCAAATATGGTCCAATGTTAATAGTTTACTGGGCAATCGTTGCTCCAAATTTCCCACTTCCAGTCTTCCACTTGATATGGCAAGTCATCTCTCATCCAAATGTATGTTTCTTCCCCAGATTTCAATAAAGCCACATGTATTTTGAAATACAAGGTACCAAAAAGTGACCTGTAAGTATTTTTATTTGTTCTAACTTGGCCCTCTTGCAAAAAAAAAAAAAAAAAAAAGAAGGTAGTCTACCATTGCTGGCTTGAATAAGCCATGACTCCAAATGCAAGAAACACAAACATTTATGGGATTTTCCATTGTACACAGTGGCTTTGATTCTGTCAATACTTCAGTAGAGTTTGTAATTCAATATGATACCATTCTGAATCACTGGCATAGAGCACAATCCAAGGGATTAACACTGTTGCTGCAAATTTGAGATGCTTCATTGTTTATCACAGAGCTCAAGTGGTTCTGTCCTACTTTTTTAAACAAGATACACACAAAAAAGTGAAAAACACCTAATGCTAAATTTGGCAAGGATATAGAGTAACTGGAACTTCCATACACTGCTATTGAGACTATAACTTGGTATAAATACTTTAGAAAACTGCTTGGCAGTATGTAGTACAGATAAATACGTGCAAAATCTGTGACCTAGCATTCCAACTCCGAAGTGCATTCCTGAAGTCTTGGCTGGGTAGATCAGTTGGTTAGGGCAGCATCTCAATACACCAAGGTTGTGGGTTTGATCCCTGGTCAGGGCACATACAAGAATCAAAAGTGTATCCCCAGTAGAAATGTTCACCTAAAGTCATATACGTGAATCTTGATAGTGACCTTTTCAGTAAGATGCAAAAGTTGGAAATAGTCCAAATGTCTTTAATGATAAAAATGGTAAGTGAATTGTAAATGCGTACACAATGGAATACTACACAGGAAGGAGAATGAATGAACCCAACCACATGCAATAACTCAGATGAATGTCACAAGCATAATGCTGAGCACACGAAGGCAGACAAAGAATATAACATATCATATGATTCCATTTCTCTAAAGTTCAAAACGAAGGAAAAATAATCTATGGTGTTAAAAGTCAGAAAAGTGGTTATCTTGGGCAGGTTAGTAACTAGATGGTATTCAAAATGGGGCTCTGGTGTCTGACAATGTTCTACTTCTTTTCTTTGTCATTTTTTAAAACATTTCTGTAAAATTTACCTTTGTGAAGTTGCAACTTAAACACAATGAAATGCACAAATCTGAAATATACAGCTGAAACTTTTGCTACACTTTGCCTTTTGCCTATATACCCATATCAAGCCATAGAAAACTATCACACCAGAAGGTTTCTTTATGTCTCTTTTGAGGAATTACCACCTAAACTAATTTTCCCAATTAAAAAATTGTACAACATTTAAAAAATATCATTGATAGACAATACATGGACTATTTGAAAGTGCACTGTTTGATACATTTTGATATGTATACATCTGTGAAAACATCAATCAAGACAATAAGCATATCCACCAGTCTCAACGGTTTTCCATGCCTCTTTGTAATCCCCCCATGCTATGCTTCCTTCCTCTCCAATCCCCCAGCAACCATCAAGTGCATTTTGTTGAAATTTATATAAAGGAAATCATACACGTGTAATTTTGGTCTTAATTTATTCAATAATTGTGCTCTGTTTCTTGACCTGGCTTCTGATTTCATGGCTATGCTCACTTGATGAACATGCACTGAGCTGTATACTTGATTTGTACGTTTTTTGTATACGTATTCTATTTTAATAAAAGCTTATATTTATTAAAAACATGAATGTGTAAATAAACCACAAGAGAGAATCCAGAGCCCAGAATTATTTTCTCCTTAATAAAGGCATGGTTTTGCAGAGAATAATTATGTAAACCCCACAAAAACATGGACATTTCTGCCTTTTTCACCCAGGGCCAACCTACTGTGCCTATCACATAGTAGGTGTTCAACAAATATTTACTGAATGTTTCCTAATGGGAAATCTCATGTATAATAACAAATTTATTTATAGTATATGTAGGATATTCATCAATATTTTTACCTGCGTGCAGCAAAATGCCTCTTTTTCAAGAAGAGTGATTTGGTATGGTGGAAGGGTACATCTGTACATTCAATTTTGGAATAGAGATTTATAAATAATGCTGTCAGAAGACTGTTCCTTTTTCTATAAATGTCTCACATACTGAAGCTTTGGGCTTTAAATGGTCTGGTAGGTTGTTTTACATGGCCTAGAAGGTCAAGCTGCATCAATATAGCTTCAAAGACAGGAAAAGCACATTTCCTTGCGTACACATAAGTGAAACCAGAAAGTCCTATGACATCAAGTGCAGCCTGAAGCCAAAGATTCACAATCAGTCTGAAGAGCCTAAAACATACACAACCACAAAGGCAGCACCAGCATGACGCAGGAGCTAATTCTCTAGAATCATTAGGTGTGTAAGGCACCATGTGGAAAGAATCTGGTGTGTCTAATGAAGACTTCTAAAATTACCTCTAAAAAGATCAAGGGTAAATGTCATGTAATATCAGATGACTCCTCTCTCTGGACAATATTTTGCTCTCTTCCATGAAAGGAATGCCTGTGTGGTTTACATCTTTCCAAACCTCTGCCTCAGTGGCAAATGCAGCATCCCTGCCTATAGCAAAGAGATTCATCACAAAGAGGTTTTTATTTAATCTTCACTAATATTCTCCCAAAATGTATCATCAAATAATCTTGAACTAGTAACCAGGAGTCTTTGATGCTAGGATTGCTTTCCTTGCTCAAAACACTTTTCTGCTGGGATTAGTTCACTCATCTGAAAATCTTGTGTTGAGACCCACTGATGTTGAAGTCTAGCTCTGATTCTGAAATCGTGAATCCAAAAATGAATGTTTTCCACCAGGTTTTAATTTTTAAAATTCCCTTCTGATTTCTCAGAGTAGAGCCTTAGAAAGGTGAGATGTGGCCAGGGTGATGGAGAGCAACTAGGGCTGTGGGGACTGAGTGGGGGAGCCACTGATCAGTTCACTCTATTCTTGCCCTCAAACTCAGTCATCAATCTTGCCCTCTGAGCTAGCTCTTTTTCTTTTCTTCCTGCCTCCAGCTTCTCCACCTAATGTGTATTGTCCAAAAAAGTAGTAATTTCTCTCTCTAAGACTGCAACAACATAGATGCATGTACGTGTGCACAAAACACTCACAGAAGTCTGTACTTATATATTCATTTATAAAAACTTTAACAGAAATCAATGAGAGATGTTATAAAATTATAAAGCCACAAATATACCCTATTGTCTTACAGCATTAAAAGGACTAAAGAAAAAATTTAATTCATTTTGAAGGGTTTTTTTAACCACATCTATAGTCTCAAATAGAATTCTGATTCTAATATTCTTTTTGTAATGAAAATCGGATTACTGAAGATTTCAATAAAACACACATCTTGAATGATCAACTGCCCCAAATCTAAAAGTATATTATTCTATTACAGTTAATCCATAGTGAGATAAGACTCAATTTGGAATCTGTTCCCAGGAATATATATAGAAAATAATTTTTGAAAAGCAGGTAGATTTTTTAAAATTTTATCTTCCATGGTAACTCTGTTGAAATAGCAAATATAAATTATATTCGTTTCACTCAAGGATGATGATGCCAGCCTCAAATATACTGTAAGCAAACCTGGATTTCATTTGTCTATTATACACTGCTGATTTGCAACCATAAAGAAATATTGCCAGTAGTCACATTCTTTCCTGTGTTCTATTTTTTTATCCTTACCTGAGAACATGCTTATTGATTTTAGAGACAGGAGAAGGGAAGGAGAGAAACATCAGTGTAAGAGAGAAACATCAATCAGTTGCCTGTTGTACATGCTCCAAACAGGGACAAATCCACACCCTAGGCTTATGTCCTGACTAGGACTCGAATCCATGACCTTCTAGTTTTATAGACTACATGCCAATGAAGTGAGCCCTGCTGGCCGGGGTTGTTTTGTTTATTTTATGAATAGTATTAAACTATGAATATATGCCCTCAAAATAGAATGAGAATTTAATTAAATGAGTCATTCTTTTTTGGTAGAAACTTGGCTATGTATCTAGTTCCACAGTATTAAAATAAATTGGCCCATTACAATCTAAAATGAAACATTTCTCTATGAATGTTTCAGCATGAACAGAACTAACATCCTTCAGTTCCATCAGTGAAATTTCTCTTTCCTTTTTTTTATCGTTTTGGTCCTGATTAATAGTGTCAGTGCAGATACTAAAATCCAAAGCTATTCCTCTTTTGTCTTTCTTCTCATTTCATAATTCTCTGTTAAAAGTGTTTTTAGTCTGTATTTCAAAAGCCAAATGGCTTAAAATCTTACAGTTCAAATAACAAATAGGCCAAGCTTCTAGAAGGTAAGTCATGTAACTCTTCATAAGAGGTTAAAGATAAATTTTGGCTAACCCACAACAGGAGTGCTACCAAATCCAGACAAGCCTTGTCTCTTTCTCCGTAAATATGTCAGAATGAAACCCTTAATGAGCCAAAAAACCACTCCAGTAATGACTGTAAAACAACCAAGACAAAACAGGGTCTACAAAACCACTTCCTTCCAAACCCCAGCTACCTTCATCTTACATCCTTCAAATACTTCCTGCTCACCCTGGCTTTTGGTATAATATGCTTTTCAAGCTGGCTTCCTTCCTCTGTTTTTATCTGTA